CCCAGGTGTCCCCTCGCCACGCTGGAATCAATGGCCACTTGTCCCCACCCCCTCCAAGTGTCCCCGTGCCAGGTGAATCAATGCCAAGTGACCCCGTGTCCCCCACCCCTGGTGTCCCCACGCCGAGCGACCCGATGATTGGTGTCCCCAACCCCAAGGAGCCCAACGCCAGCTGTCCCCACACCAAGGGTTCCTTTGCCAGATGTCCCCATTCCGGGTGTTCCCGTGCCACCAGGGGTGCCAGGCCAGGGGACAGMAATGCCTGAAGGGGGCTGAGGGCAGTGGGTGACCCCCGTGGGGGTCARGATGGCCCGGAAAGGGGACAGACAGAGGACACGGCGGGTGTGGGGTGRCACGGGCAGGGACAGGGCGCGGGCACTGCTCTATCCCAGGGGAATTTGTGGGGAAAGGGGTATGGGGACTCTCGTGGGGTCGGGTGAGGGGTGGGTGCGTGTGCCCACAGAGGGAGGGGGTGACCCTGTGCCCCTCCCGGTGCCCCCCGGCCGCTCCCGCCTCCCGGGGATGGTCAAGAAGGCGCCGAGGCGGCGGCGGGGGAGTCGCCTCCGGTAACCGGGTGTTTATTGGGGCCGCGGGGTACAGCCCGCGGGCGGCCGCATGCATGGCCGCTGGGAGGGGGGGGGGGCTCCCGCCGCCCCCTGCCCTATTTACAGCCTGCCACCCCCCGGGGACCTGCCACCCCCCCGCCACACGCCACCCCGGGTGGGTGCCGGGCAGGGCTGGCACCGAAAGGGCACCCTTTGCCAGCAGAGAGTGGGTTCGGTGGGACCCCCCGRCGGTGCCCACCCCACCCCGGCTGTGCTTTCCAGGAGGGGGTGCCGGGGGTGGGGGCGGATGGGCACCCCCAGACTGGCACTGGGAAGRGTTAACCCCAGACCGGCGGTGGGAATGTGCCCCGTCCCCAGAAAAMGCCACATTCGTGGGGTCCTCAACCCCCCGCAGCCAAAATGTTCGCCAGATTCCGTCACCACAACCGATGGCACCTCCCGGCCGGGTGTCCCCAAGGAGCTGGCAGCCCCCCCCGGTGCCACTGCGGGCTGGGGGGCACAGCCCAGCGCCCGTGTCCGTGTGTCCATCCTGCTGCCTCCCAGGGATCCCCGTCCCAGGGTGCTGCTGGCCCTGGGTCCAGCCTGGGGAGGGGACACGATGGACGCTCCCCCACCCCCGGCACACGGGACAAAGCAGCCGGAGCGCAGGGCACCGCCCCGCGCCAGCCGGGGACACCCCCAAACCCTCTCCGGGGGCACCCAGGGGGTGCCTGTCCCCCCCTCACCCATGCAGCACCTCACCCCATGCCCGCAGCTCCTGCCCGGCCGTCCCTCCCTGTCCCCAGGGAGCCGCGGTCCCCATTAGTGTCCTGGCCAGGGGGACGCACACAGGGGTGGCACCCTATTTCCCCGAGGGAGTCCGCTCCACGCCGTAGCGCAGGAGGTGGTGCAGGTCCGTGAGCGGCCGCGGGGTGCCCGGTGCCCGGGCTGCCCGAGCCCCCGTCCCGTGCCGCCCGTAGCCTCCCGCCGCCGCCTCGCCGCTGTTGAACGTGTGGTTCCTCTTGAGGTGGGCGCCGGGGCGGCCCGTGCCGTTGTTGGCGTTGAAGTTCAGCTGCTCGGGGTGCCAGGGTGGCCCCTCGGTAAAGTCTCCCCCCTCCCCGCTGGGTGCCGAGACCACCCGCCGGCGCTCGGGGCTGGGGTGCGGCGTCCCGCCGAAGTCGCCGTAGGAGCTGCGGGGCGGGCGGCGGGCGCCGGCGGGTGGGTGCTGCCGGCTGCGGGGACCCTCCTGGGGGTCCCGAGCCCAATGCCCGTCACCTGAGGAGTCGCTGAGTTCGGCCTCCAGCTCCTGGTCCACCAGGATGGCGTGGCAGGACAGGGGGATGCCCCGGGGGGCTCGGCCGGAGCCGCCGTGCCCCCGCCCGGCTCCCGCGGGCCCGGAGCCGCCAGGGTCCCGCAAAGCCGCGTTGATGATGTTGTGACTCTGCTCCCACGTGCAGTTCTGGAGAGCTCCGGGGCAGCGTTTCTGCTGCAGCGGGGTCTGCTCCGGCGTGGGCAGCACGCCCGAGTCCAGGTCGTGCTGGGCGACCTTGGCCAGCTCCTTGGGCCACCCGTTGGGCATGAGCGGGGCCAGCAARGCTCCGCGAGCCCGCCGCTCGCCCAGGCGGCTGACGCTCACCACCGACTCACTGTGCGCCAGGATGGTCTCCTTGTCCTTGCGCCGCGCCAGCTCCTTGCGGTCCCGGTGCCCGATGAACCAGCACACGCTGAAGCCGGAGATGACGGCGCCGATGACGAACGCGGCCACCGAGGAGATCACCAGCAGATTCACCGACACCAGCCCGTCCGGCTCGTCCACGAAGCTCTCCGTCACCAGCCCTGGGGGTTGGGGACGCGTCAGGGAACCCGCGGGTGTCACCGGCGTGTCCCCGAGCCCCGGCTCGCCGCCGCACTCACCCTCGCACTCGCCCAGGTGGGACGTGCTGCYGCCGGCGATGTCCTGCTCGAAGGCCACCCTGGGGTGCAAATTGGGAGAGAGGGGGTGGTCAGTGGGTCCCGAATGGCCTGGCACGCTCCCAGCTGCCCTCAGCTAGCAATGAGTTTGTTGGGGCTCAGCGATTCTCTCAGGGGACCTCGCTGTCCCCTCTGCGTGTCCCCCAGTGTCCCCCAGTGTCCCCCAGTGCCCCCCAGGCCCGGCAGCGTTACCTGGGGCTGGGCTCCAGGAAGGTGCAGGAGCCCTCGGCTGTCCAGCCGCAGTAGGGATCCCGGCTGCCCAGGCAATTCCTGGCAGGGAGCAGAGACATCAGGATATTCAGAGACATCAAAGACACCGGGGACACCGTGCTGTGCCTCAGTTTCCCTCAGGGCAATGCTGAGCCCTTCCCAGGGTGGATTCCCGGGATGTGAAGGTGAAGGTGAAGGTGAAGGGAACCCCCCTCACCCCTCGCACAGCCCGCAGCGCCAGCCCTGCCCGCCCCGGGCACTCACTTCATGCAGCCCGAGTGCTGCTGGCAGCGCGCCACGGGCACCCTGGCCACGCACGGGGGGAAGGCCAGCAGCAGGGAC